GATAAAACAAGAAAAAATAGGAGATAAGGCATCATATGAAACAAAGTGAGCAATAGGATGATTAGTAACACACGAACGAGTACCTTTTCGAAGAGCAATAGGTAAAGAGTCTAAATTACCTGATGGACCAAGATCAGAAGGCGGTAAGAAAGACGGTACGAGCACGTAAGTCGATGATCGAGGACTACAAGAGTATACACGAAGAGGTAAAGTAAACGGTAACACAGTAGGTAGCGGAATATCTGAAGATGAAGGAATCAATGGTGGTACAAGAGGTGACTCAAAGTCCAGATCCAAAGGCTGAGAAGGTGCTGGAAAATATGGAACAGATTCCTCAAATGTGACATCGGCACTAGTAAAATATCGCCGCAGAGAAGGACTGTAGCAACGATATCCCTTCTGTATGCGGGAATAATCAAAAAATATACATTTGGTAGCCCGAGGATCAAGTTTATCAAACCCAGGACCCAAATTGTGAACATAACAGACATATCCAAAAACCTTAGGAGTTAGGAAAAATAAGGATTTACCAGGAAAAAAGATAGAATATGGACTTTGTTCATTTAACACCGAGGATGGCATATAATTAATAAGATGACAAGCAGTGAGTACAACATCACTCCAAAAATATCGGAAAATATTCATCTAAAATAACAGGGCACAGGTGACTTCCAACAAATGACGGTTCTTGTGTTCAGCAACACCGTTCTGTGGAGATGTGTAAGCACAGGACGTCTGATGAATAATGTCAGTTTTACTAAGATAAGCTGAAAAATGATCAGATTCATATTTCTGAGCATTATCAAATCGTAAATACGTATACGACAACCATACTGAGTTTTTATTTCCTTACGAAAGTTCTCAAATATAGAGAATAATTCAGACCGAGCTTTCATCAAAAACAACCAAGTCACACGAGAATAGTCATCCACAAAAGACACAAAATAAGGATATTTATTAAATGAAATATTCTTTATTGGACCCCATACATCAGAATGTACCAACTCAAATAGACTAGACACACGATTATCGACTCCGGACTGAAATGACACACGGTGATGCTTACTAAGTTGACAAGCTTCACAAGACAAAGACGACACACAACTAAGACTAGGAACTTGGCGCTTCAAATTCTGGAGAGAGGGATGTACAAGGCAACAATGCCATAGAAAAGGAGACAACAGGTCTGTAGAGCCCGAGTAGGTGAATCAAAATCAAAGTAATATAGGCCAATGGCTTCATGCCCCGTACCAATCTTCCTCTTTGTCTTGAGATCATGAAAGACACAATAAGAGGGATAAAAGGTTATAGAACAATTAAGAGAATGGGTAATCTTACTAATGGAAAGTAAACTAAAAGGAAACTGAGGAACAAATAACACGGATGATAAGGACACATCAGGACTCAAGTGAGTAGTCCCCAAACCTGAAACTTTAGAACAGGTACCATTAACAAGAGTAACACTACGTGTGGAAGTAACAGACTAATAAGTAGAAAAGACATCAGACACACCAATCATGTGGTCAGAAGCGCCGGAGTCTATGATCCAGGGACTGCGAGTGGAGGATAATAAATAAGTGAAAGCAGTACCTGACTGGGCAAAAAGTAGCAGTGGAGGAAGATGGAACAGTCTGTTGCTGGGACAGAAACTGGGCATACTCCTCTCGACCCAATGTAATAGTAACTAACCCAGTGTCTGGTGGAGCTGACTGAGGTATAGAAGCAACAACTGAGGTATCATCCTGATAAACAGCAGTAAAAGATTTTCCATGTAAATCCCAACAAAAGTCAACAGTGTGTCCTCCACGACCACAGTGAGTACAAGAACAAGATCCACTACGGCACCCGTACGACCTCCTCGACTATCACGACCACCACGATGGCCATCACTGTGACTACTAGGAACCACAAGAGTTGAGCGATCAGTAGAGATACCATGATCGATGCCTGAAGGAGAAGACAATGTAGCACGCTGTAAACGAGAGACAACCTCGAGCAGTGATGGAAGACTAAAACCACCCAAAATCTGAGAACGAATAGCCTCATATTCAGGTTTTAATCCTACCAAAAACCTAACAACATTCAGGTCCTCATGTTGTATCTGCCAAACTGCTGCATCAGTAATAAAAAGATGATAGGTCTTCATCTCCTCACAGACTCCCCGAACATGAGAGTAATAATCTGCAAGACTCATAGTACCCTACTCCAACCGGAAGTACTCCTTGCACACCTCATACGCACGGGTAAAATTACCTGAACCAGAATACATAGTAGCCAAGTCATCTCATATCTCTTTGGTAGTATCGAGATAGAACAGAGAAGAGCTAATACTAGGCTCAATGCTATTCAACAATAAAGAGATAATCTGAGCATCCTCTTGTTCCCACTGATCATACCCAGGAATGTCTTCCTTAGGTTTAGGATTCACCAAATATTTCTTAAATCCTTTACCTCGAAGAAAGACTTCAACAGATCAGGACCATAAAGTGTAATTAGTCCTATTGAGTTTGACAGAGGTCATGGGACCATTGATAAGAGTAGGAGGAGGCAAAGATGGAGTAAGGGACATGGTATTTTTCTTGGGTTCCATAATAGTGTAGCAAATAACAAATAAAAAGTGTTGCAATGTTGATCCGGGTTGGAAATAGGATTAGTTGGACTTGCTGGAGGACTGAATTAGGCTGGAAATAGGGGCTGAATCACTGAACCAGATTAGTTGGACCTGTTGGAGGGCTGAACTGGGGCTGGAAATATGGGCTGGACCACTGAATTGGGCTGAAAATAGAGGAGGCTGGACCACTGAACCGGGTTGGAAATAGGGGCTGGACCACTGAACCAGGTTGGAAATAGGGGCTGGACCACTGAACCGGGCTAGACCACTGAACCGGTCCGGCCGGGCTCTCCTGATCACTGAACCGGACCGCTGGAGCTCCTGCTAAACCGGCCATGAACCGTGGGCTAGACCGTGGGTTGAGACTTAAAAACAATTACGGACCTGTTGGATTGACCCGATCTGGCTAGGCTGGGCTCTTCTTTCTCGCTAGCTGATTAGGGTTCCAAGAGAACCCTGGTTCGACACCACCACAGCCACAACACACCACGACGAAGGAACAACACCACCACAGCCACCACACACCACGACAGCAACAACAAGACACAGACCACCACCACCACCAACGATCAACACAGGGAACTGCCACCACCACTATAGCGACACACACACAGATCACACCAACGATCAACACAGTAATCACCAATGATCAACACAAACCACCACTAACGATCAATACAAAATTAATTTATTCGAAATATATGTTTATTATCGTTACGCTCTGATACCATGTTAAGTGTAGAATATTAACACAATATTAGAGGAAAACAGAGATAGGTTAAAACTTAAACCTAACCCTCATACATCACTTGTATTTATAAGTAACTCATAACAAGAATTACACATACACACCCTCTTGTATTTACACATAATATCCTAATACTATTAATAAATTACATATACTACCCTAATACTCTTAACATAATCAAACGTCATCATTGGTGGGCTGATACGTGGGCTAGGAAAGGTTGAACTTAGATTCGACTGAGTTGCACGAGTTACATTAAAAATAAGGATCGGGGTTAACAAGAAAGGCTAGATTCCCCCTCGAGTGTAAGACTAGGTAATTCGAATATGCACTCCTGTTGGTATTGAGTCCATAAAGTGTGTCAGCGTACGCGAAACCGTTAGTGAAAATCCATAGATGTCGTTTCAGTTGGGTACCCGTTGGTGGAAATCCACAAACACCCACCCCAAGAAAGACCTAAGGATTTTATAAAATAGTTATTGAATATCTAACATCAATGGCGGGAACTTAAAATACCCGAAAGTATACGCATAGCATTGCATGTGTTATGGGAGCCGATGGAGGAGTATCTGGTACCGGTACCTAGCAAATAGTAGGCCCCGGTACCAAAATCTATAGGTATCGGTACCTAAAAAATAAAAGGACCAGGTACCAGTACCACGTATCAGAGGTACCAATACCTCTTCCCAAAACTTAAAATTTTAAAATATAACACTGAGGGGCATTCACTCTTAGAACGACCTCTATGGATGATGTAAATGGATAATAATAATAAGTCCAAATTACTGGAGTTTGAACTTTGGAATGGTCATATGGTTGATATGTGCATAGGTTATGTGTTGGGTAGTGCTCCAGTACAAAAGACACTCCGCCCAACCTTATTTTGATTATGATCCTGGTGAATAGGGTGTAACGACGTGGTATCGGGTTATGTGGTACTCACGGGTACTTCTATGGGTTGATAGGTGATCAAAGTGTTGAGAAAGGACCCTCAGATTTTGGGTCGTCATATGTAATTTTTAAAAACGTTATAATTTCATATCCTCTAGACAGGTGTTCATATGTTACGAAGACTATTGAGAAATAACTCAAGCTCTCATTAATTAGCTATTTTATTATTAGTTGTTAATTAATTTTAGTCCAAATAACATATTGTTTTATTATAGTTAGTTTATTATTTAAATTAGTTGTCCTCTTAGAAAAGATGTCTTGGTCTTCTTGGGGTATGTCGACAGAGTCTTTCCTTGACCAAACAAATTTGTTGAAAAAAAAAATCAGACTTGTGAAAAAAAAGAGACGGAGACAACGCAGACAAGAGAGAAAGAGAGAGAAAATAGAACATGGCAATTCAATCATTTGCATTCGTTATCCTGTATTAGGAAAAAAAATTCTAGCCCCCCTTGAGTTTCATTTAACCATGTACATAGATCAAAGTTGACTTTTCAAATTGAGTTGGGATAAAATCCGAATGGGATTTTCGATGCATTTTTTTTAACTACCAAACATGAGATATATGGACTCTCACATATTTTTTTATCCTATTCTACCAGAGTTATCCCCTTTTAACCCGCAATCCAAACATACCCTTAAGGTTATTAATAACTACATTAACACATGCCTATGTTAGATACTCTATTTATCTCAATTCAACAAAGCCTCGTCCCAAGTATTTTTGGATAGAATCGTAGTAAAACATACATACCTGGATGGCTCTTTCCAATCTCCACTGCGTGCCAAAACAAAACGTACTGTAGAAATCCCAGTTTTGATGGAGTTATCTTCCTCCATCAAAAGTTTGATATCGTGTAAAATGGCAAATAGAGATCGATCCTGTGAAATAAATTCTGGCATGTGATTGAGTACATAATTTTTATAGAATTCCACCCTCGATGGTTCTCTGATATCCAAATATTTCCTCAGAATGATTCTTTCTTTCTCAGATTCCATTCGTACAAAGTCGTCATTTAAAATGTCCTCATGAACACCATCCGGTGTAAGCCATTTGGTAGGTTTACTCAAACATTCTAATCTTCTACTGCGGAATGATTCAAACATAGGAATGTTTTTTATGATATCAATATGCAGGTCATCCAACAAGTCGTCACAGAACCACTTGGACTGAAGAATAAAACTCCTAAGTTCATGCATCTCACCCTCTGATGCATCACTAAACAACCCCTCAATGTACTCTGGGTTACCTGCAACAGCCAGTAATGCATTTAAAACGCCAGTAGCCGTAGAAGACTGCACATAATTTTTCAATTGTCCATGTTCAAGTGGGAAGTCATGCCTTAAAATTAGGCATCCAGCCTTCAACAACAGTGAAGACATGTTCTCACTCCACCCATCATCTTTGATCACATTCGAATTTTCAACAAGCTGCAGGAGATGATTATTTCCAACAGGCAAAATAGGCCACTTAGAAAACATTGAAAGATCATCACAACATGAATTGAGATAGCTCCACAGCAGTCTCATCCATTCCAAACTAGGCTGGCCTTGATGACCAGGGTCCCAAATTACCTGCTTAGCGTGCTGCCATTCAGCCGGAAGTAATCTCCAAAGGAGCTTCTCAAGCAAATGGCATGTCAGAACTGACAAATTGAAATCCTCACTTCGGGCTATATCACATAGTTTTCTGTAAAGACCATCTGAGATTCTGCAATCCACAAGTTGATGAGGGATGGAGTCCGCAAGAAGACTGTATTCATCTCCACATACAACATAAACTCTTTCGCTCACCCCCCTCTTCTCGAATGTTGTGACTGAACCATTGGAAAGAGGTACCAGAGGTAAACCAAAGAAACTATCAGATTGAACAGGATTTTTTAAATCCAGTAAGCAATACTCAAGGGTCATGATCATTGCATTCCTGTCCCTGAATCCACGTTTCCGGCGAATTAACAAGGTACGTAGCAACTGAGGTGTAAGGAAGTGCAATGAAGGGCAGACCTCTCTAAATTTGTCCACAAGTGGCTTAGGAGCACTCGCCACTGGTAAACCAGCATCTGACAATGCTTCTACAAGCTCACATGCCTTGTCAAAACTAAAATCAGGAAAAATAGCCTGCTTAGTTGAGATCCACTGGCCCCCTCTAGCTTTTGTATACAATACACGAACACCAAAATCAGCAATATAAAGATAAAGTTTCTGTACCATTGATGCCCAAGGTTCCAACCCTATTGTTGTTGGCCAGAAAGAAAAGAACAAATCACATGGGCCAATTTCCAATGCAACTTTCTCCAACAAGCGGCCATATGCTGGGGCAACAACATCTTCAAGGAGGTATTTATTCCACTCTGAGCGTTTTTTCCCACCACCTGCCATGTCATTTCCAAACCATATATCCCTTCGATTGGATGACAATTCAAAATATGCATTAACATGTACCGGAAGACCAGTATATATTGGAAGTGGTAAAAAACAGAAGGCACGTCCCCCAGAATTGTTTCTATCTTCAATGGATGTTACAGGGACTTGAGGTATGTCAGGAGTAGTAGCACAAAATTCCTCAATATTTCCACAAGTGGTTAATTTTCTTTCAAGCTTTACAGAGTGCAAATGAGAGGCAATACAAGCCCAGGGAACACATCTATTAGATTTACTACTAAAGGATGCAGAGTTACCCTTAACATGGCCACCAGCTAAGCACTCACTAGTTAACCACAAGTGCGATTTATCACCAGAGGAGCCTTGTTCAGTCACCATAATCTTCTCACATTTCCATGGCAAATCTGTGCCTACAGATTTGCTCAGTTTGCTGAGGAACTGATCCTTATCCATTCCATCTTGCTGATTTCCATGCATTAAACTGAACATATTATGAAAAGGAGTGGTTTCAGCTTCAGCCTCACTAACAGAATGCTTCTGCACACGATGTAATAGTTGCATTTCACTAGTACCTCCTTCTTTTATGAATATGGAGATGGTCTTTACGTTGCGGAGAAAAAGGAGTGTCTCGGACACAAGCTCAGAAAAAGAAGAAAACAGTGATATGACATCTTCAGGTGCATACACTTCTTTCTTTATTTGGCTTCTGGAAGCAACATTTGCACTCCTGAGGGGAAAACGGAAGAGAGTACCAGGAAATGAATGCTGCAAATCACAGCCAAAGTGCAGAAATGGAGAAAATTGATCAGGAAATTGTTCCAAAATCCTTCTGCCCACAAATTTAATCCGTAGACCAGGATGAGATGGAGAGATTCCAGGCAAATTACAAGCCTGGGGATCAAACATGACAATATTTTCCCCCGAGACAAATGTGGGGAGATCTGTGAAGTGATAAACGCAATTAAATCCCAGCCCAAATCTACCAATTGCAAACGGCTTCTCTAATTTACTTTCTTGACCAATACGGGAGATTGCATATAGATCTTGAGGACTAAAAACAGAGTCATTGAAACAATACAAAGCAGAGCCCTGCCAATCTGCCATTTCTGGGGATAGCACAGAGGAAGTCCCATATTGTGTTTTATCCAATAAAAAGACCACCTCAGAAGCTCTTGCATCCTCCGCATTTTGCACGAGCTCAAAGAGAATCCCAGGTCCATCAGCATACATTTCGAGTATATGTTTGAGTCTTGTTGTCAAGGCTTCATGCTGTCCAAATGCTTCAGCAGCTCCAGATAAACTCAGATTCATTGAATCAGCACTCTCCGCAAGCAACATCCTTCGAAGTGAACGGACACCCAGCTTCTCTGCAACATCATTAGAAATGTTCCCATGCACAAATTTTTGAACAGTTCCTTTAGCACTTAAAACCAAAGATGCATTACCAAACATGCTATCAGGAACTTCCGAGCTGATCAACCAGGGAGCATCATTATAAACCAAGTCAGAAGCAGTAATTAGTCGCAACATCACATCTGGCAGACAGATCTTGATTTTCTCATCATAAAATGGAGCTTCAGCCAGATGCTGTGCAATCAGTATGGTAGCCCTGATCTCCTGAGCATCCAGAGGATCAGAACCTTTCCTCGTAGCCATTCTGCATAATATATTAGCATAATCACTGGCCTTTAAGAATTCTAGAATGCCAAGCTCCAAAAATAAATCCCTGAAAACTGCTAAATCAACAGGTATAACGCGCATGTAGGGAGCCAAATGAAGAGGACCATTAAGGACCACCTCATCCAAGGTTGCAAAGCCATCTCCCACCCAAACCCATCGGCACCCTTCTAGAACAGCCTTGACAATGTCCATCTCATCTGTACTGATCATGCCCATAAGTATAGAGTATATCCTCGGCATTGATAAGGCCAATTCTTGCCGAAGCACAGGATCAGTCACTATTTCATTATTTTTTCCAAGCTCAAGCAGTTGGGCAGCAATTACACTTCCTCCAGGCGGAGAAGACCACCCAAGGTGATATGATAATGCTGAGGAAGAACATTCTCCATCCAGTATTCGCATGGTTGCTGAAACAAGCCAAAGGTCCGAGTACAATCTCACAAGTTTTGGTGGAGCAACAACTGATGAAACAGCAGGCCATGGTAAAGATTGATATGGAGAAGAAACAAGAACTGGGCACCAGCAGATTAACCTGAGATCACTCCAGAACTTCTCAAGGTCAGTTTTCAAAGTACGAGGTTTAAATGCAGTTGCAGCTCTTGAGAACATTCGGTTCACTGTTCCCTGATTATCTGTCGGTGGATTAGGTAGCCACTTCGATGCATTAACCTCAAGGTAGGAAAGAAGCACTTGGCCTCTTGAACAAGCCCTTTGTTGGTCATCGCGCATTAACTGTTCTACCTGTCGAGCACTTTGTATGACTGTCTCAGGAGACACATATGTCCTAAGACCCAAACTTTGTAGCATATCTAAAATGCCTGATTCTTGGAAAACATTGGATGGGAAACTATCAGAATATTCAAGTAAAGCAAATAATTCTTCATTCCGAGGATCGTATAACAACGACGGACACTTCAGAGAACCACTAGAAGTGGGGACAAATTCCAAATTTCTCAAACCTTCTCGGAAAGATGCATCCTCAATACATAATTGTGGTAGCTCTTGCAGAATTGAAAGCATGATGCTGTCACGAATTTCTGGTTGCAACTCCCTTACTCTATTTAGCACTTGCTGCTTGTAAAAGCATGCTTTTACCATTCGATCAATTCCATAATATTTATTTAGTACCTCTTCTTCAGTTGGTGACGAACTTCGGATGAACTCACCACAAAGAAAGAGCTCTGGACAATCTAAAGGGGGCAAGTATTTTTGAGGGTTCTCTAAATCTGAAAACTGAAAATTTTCAGCGGATTCTCCACCATAGACTCTATAAATGGGCAGTCTCTTGCACTTCCATATGTATGATTCAGCCATACGGTCTCCAATGTACCATTGTGGATCCAGTAGAAATCGACGAAGCTCGTCCCTCTCTTTCGCTTCCAAGCAAAGAAGAAATGCTTGTCTTATGCTATCATCTGAAGATACAACGTCAAAAATTGACTCCAAAACACCAGCACCATCAGCGTCACAAACATAATGATATAAATCTGGGTGTTCAATGAAATAACCTCTGTTCAGTATCTTGCAACCTATCTTAACAAGGAGATCTTGCATTCTTTCAGACAATTTTTCCACGTTCAGCAATTTTGAATGTCCATATGGTCTATAAAGATGGCCAGAAAGGGATGGCAAGATAGGCCAATCACCAAACAGGGACAATTTTTCACACTGATTTTCAAGATACTTCCAAAAAAGTACAAACCATGAAAATGTTGGATGATTAGAATTTGAGTCTGGATCCCAGAATACTTCAGTTTTGTATTTCCATTCAGCAGGTACAAATTTAGGGAATAACTGAAGGAAACTATTAAGATTGAAAACAAGAAGATTTGTAGTTGAGGCCTTTGCAATAGCTGATAGTCGGCTTAATATATTGAAAGGAATATTCCGGTCAATTACTCTATCAGATATTTGTTTAAGAAGCACATATTCCTGCTCATTGCAGATAAAATAAGATATCCTTTTTGCAGAGTCACACAAGAATCCAAAGTCACCACTTGCTAACGGAAGCAGAGGCAGGTTGTACGCATGTCTACCAACATCAGCATCAATCAGATCTTCAAGGCAATACTCCAACAATATAAGCTTGTAAGATCTGTTTAATATACAACTCTTTTCGCATTCCCTAAGGTAATGTCGTACCAAGTGAGGAGTAACGACATTTTGCTGAAAATTAGATGCACATTTCAACAGCATATTAGACAAGGCATTAGGCAAACGAACAACAGGCAGTCCTAGCTGTAAAAGAGCCTCCCCAAGTTCTTTGCTTTTAGAAAACTCCTCGTCATGAATAAAAGCTTCCATTGGTGAAACCCATTTTCCTCCTTCAAGGTTGGAATAAAAAACAGGAAGATCACCAATGTGCCTGTAAATATGCTCAACTAATATGTTCCATGGCTCTTCAAAAGAACCAGTAGGCCACAAAGAGTAATACAACTTTGTTGGACCAAGTAACCCTTGCACTCCAAGCAGTAATTGTGCAAAACTAGGAGCCACAACATCTTCTAAGAGAAGCCTGTTCCACGTGGAACGAATTCTTCCAGCTCTGTCCATATCAGCTCCATACCAAATGCCACGACGATTTGATGAAACCTCAAAGAATCCATTAACTTGCACAGCCATTCCAGTTTTTACGGGCAAAGGGAGGAAACAAAATGCCCGACCTTGCTTAAGAACATCCTGTTTAGATATCATTTTTGATGAAAAAACAATTGTAAGAGACAGAGTCTAGAACATTAAGTACAAAATCTTTTAACTAAAAGCAGCAGTTTGCATTGTTCTTTCTTTTTTCTACTGCACATTCTTTTTCTTTATGGGTAAACTGAAATATCAATAAGAAAGAAAAGAAGGCAATTAAGACGCCATACAAACTAAGAAAGGCAAGCTCTTTAACAACTAGAAAGGACAACCTGTGAAATCTATACTTTTATTTAAGGGAGAGGGGGTGTTTTGGTCTCCACTAATCTATGTCATTTAGCAACAATTAACTACTTTCGTCCCCGTTAACTACTCATGCAGAATTTGTATCCAAATGAAATACCCCAACTGTGTACCTGTCAATATTCACCCACATCCACCATCCCTCTCCCTCACGTTAGCTGCTCCACATACCACATCCCATATAGCCGAAGCTAAACTATTTGTATATGTTTGTATTAACTTCTCATACTCTCCCATAAACCAAGAAATACCCCATCTCAGTACACTTTCAAAAAATTCTCCAGCAAAAAGAAGACATTGATGTATGTTGCCACATGCCATCCTCCTGCTTATTTTGTTTTAAAAATAAGCAACTTTTGTTGTTTTTTCTTTCTATTACCCAGTTTCTGTTTGTGTTATTCCCACTGTTGTTATGTTTGTGCCTATGAAATGTCATTCTTGCAGCAATGGAATTGGTCCCATAGCTGGCTTGGGTTGGAATAGGAGCTGGCTGTTAAACAAAACTAATATGCTATAATTATAATCAAATTTTCTCAAAACACTCCAAATATGTCCTAGACTACAAAATTGTGCTGCTTCCCCTCTCTCTATGGAGTTGCAGAACAAGAAAATTCATAATGACCAAAGCTTAATTTTAAGTGTTATCCAGAATTTGAGCAGCAAAACCATTACAAAGTTTGATTCAAGTGCTTTTTGCATGTAAAGAGTGAGGAACTTATTTTCATAACAAATCATATGCCTGGCTACTAACTTAGCTTTATTTATTAATTTCTTGATGCAGTGTATTTAGCTTATAGATACATGAGCATCATAGATGACATCATGCTGCATGCATATGTATGGAGTGTGTTTTTCCTTTATGGGGATCTACGGGTGGTGGATTTAGTGCAGAGAGAAGAGAATTCTCATCCTAGGTTCTTGGTTCACTGGTTATGTGGGTCAACAGCAACATGAAACACGTTACACATGCATTAATTTGCAGGCACATTGCATGTGCCACGAAAGGTAATAGTTCAGAATGGCACAACAGATGATCAGGGAATCAAGGAATAAGTCAACATAAAAAACAAGCATCAACAAAACAAAAATAATCTCTTAATCTAACGAAGCTTGCAAGAAGAACAAAATATTCACCCCAGGTATTTTTCATGTGTTGGCTTTTTTATCTGGATTTCATGTCTCAGTTGTGGGAAATAATTGTAAGCAGAGAAGGTAATTAATAAGAAACATAGGAAGTAGGTAGATATGACATCCTTTCCAATTTTTTAGGGTACAGCTACTTGACTACATACACCTTTTCTAATTACATCCACAAATCCCCAGATGAGACCTCCAAGATCAGCTACTTGCCCCCAGCACACTATAACTGTAATGCAATCACCTAGAGGCTTTGGGAACCGCAAGGACTAAGCAATCATCTTGTCTGTCATCCTAATCCTTTCTTCATCAATGAAGTTTTTTCTTATCAGATGCAAAAAATCACCTTAGATGCCAGCACTTTATGAGTAGAAAATAACAAAGTCGCAAGCAAAGAATGACTTGAGGATACTTAAAATATGTTTCAAGCTCAATCAGTACTAAACTGCTTAATTTCTCCCGTATGCCCCTACAAATATGAAAAGCAGCATGAAGAACACGAAATTACAAGAAAAAGAAACGAAGTATAAAATAAACAAATATTTAACTATGTATTGGATTGAAAAACGTAATACGCGCTTTATAACAGCAAGCACATAGTTCATAAGACAGAATAAATCCCCCCAAAAAGAGGAAAAATGAAAACGAAAATTTTAAAAAGGAGGTTCATAATTTGGAGAAACATCATTTGCATGCCAAAAAGGTACCAACACTCCAACAGGCAAGAAGAATAATGTGCATGTATTTGTGTAGTTTAGCAGTAGTAGGAGGCGTTGGGTGGGGGAGTAGTGCCACAGTCACAAATATATTGCAAATTACATTGGATGCATCATCTGATATGCATGCTGCAACTGATGCCCAAGGTAGCAGGTGAATTTCAAAATCTTTGGAAGCAGCTGCAGCAAAAGAACCTATTCTGCTGGTTGCCGATGCCATTGTTTGCACCATAAAGAAAGTAGCACTCCTCTTCTCAGACTGGTTCCCAGTTACTGCTTCACTCAAGAAGTCCAATCTAAAGGCATCCATCTCACAATCAGTAGAATTAGTAGATTTTGATAACCTCAGAAGCGCTTGCCTGTGCCAAATTGTATCATCAGTAGCCGAGTTGATGGAGCACGAATACATCTTCCTAGGCAGGGGCACCGCATCATCCCATACATACATTTCAATAGAAATAATGCTTTTAAGAAAAAGCAACGAGAAAACTCCTTCCTCATAGAGTTGACTAAACATGGAAAAAACATCATCCTCGGAGTAGGCTTGCTTTGAGAGCTGACTACTAGCTGCCTGATCTGCATTCCTCAGAGGGAAGCGGAATAACGTTCCATGGAATGGACTTTTCATGTCACAACCAAAAGCACAGTATGGAAAAAACTGATCACTATACACTGTGATGGCTGAAGAGCTAACATACTCAATTCGTTTTCCAGGATTAGCATGGGAGATATTCGGAAGGAAAACACCCTGTGGATCAAACAGTACCACGTATTTGCCGCTTACGAATGAGGGCAAATCAGTTAAATGGTACACGGAGTTGAAGCCAACCCTAGGTAAAATAAAACAATGAAAAAGTGTACCCAAAAAAAATAAGAAATTACCAGTAAATCCTACTTTTCCATCACTAATTCCGCTAAGCCTTATCAAGGTTTCTTAATACATTTAAGGGGCACTTAATTTGCTCCTTTCTTATTGAAACACCAATTCCAGTGTTATAAATGTGAAGCTGACAGTCAATATCAATTTACTGTAATGCGTTGACCGACCACCACATGTATGTTTCAAATTGATATGATATTTGACAAATTATCATCTCTATTGAAACTTGGCATAGCAAATCTTTTCGAATAATCAACACTAATTTGCATGCGTTATGATTAAGAATTACTGTTCATGCATAACCATTTTTCCAAATCATTCGGCCAAGTTTCTAATGATCTCTTTTGGATATCAAATAATGTTGTCCCCTTTTCTATTAATCTCCTCAATTTTTTGATTTCTTCCGTCAAGAAACAAAACTAAGCAATACTAATGGCACTTTATAACTAAGGGTAAACATCGTAAATGCCCTCTGAACTTCGGCACTACACCAATTTCACTTTATCCCCAGAACACTACTATTTTTTCACTTTTAACCTTGAATCTTAAAATCGTAATTTAACTTAGAACTATGTTGAAGTTAGAACTTTTGTGAAATTGTGTTAACAAAGTAGACGCATTTGCCTTGATAAAAATTTGATAGGACTCTGCTGATTTTTTAACTGAAAAAGTAAAAGGTACTGGTAATTCTTCTCAAATAACAATTTCAGTGCCTGACTGTAATATGAATGTAACTAATTACCCAAATCGACCGGTTTTCCAAGCTTGGCCATGCTTAGAACTCCCACCGATCCTCGAAATACTAACAAAATCGTCCTCCGTGAACACCGCGTTGTTGTAAGCCAACAACGCCGGACCTTGCCACTGCGCGACCTTGGGCGACAATAGAGACTCAGTCCCATGGACCCTACGATCCAGGCACAGACAGACCTTGGTGGCGCTTGCATCGTCGGCGTTCTGTATTAGCTCCTTCAGCACGGTGATTCCCTCGGGGTAGTTTAGTAATACTTCTCGGATTCTTCGGGTCAAATCCACCTTCTGCCCAAAGTCTTCGAGGAGAATTGAGTCTGACGTCATCTCCGGTGACGGTAATGACTTTTCCCGTCAAAAAAATATGAATTGAATCACATTTACAAATACATAAGTGGCCAGCGAGAGGCAGATGAATTGTAATCGCCTAGTCGGCGATTGTTTCTGCTTCTTGCAAGGTAATTTCCGTGCCTTGTAACGTTGCCAGGGGTGCGTGCGTATCTTTGATCTGGGCTTATTCTTCACCCCTATCTATATTAATAAAATTATTTTAAAAATATTTGATTTATTATTTTACTCTTATAAAAAATTTAAAATACCACATTATCTTTTCATAGTTAAATATTTAAATTACAAAGCCTTATGCATTGAAATCTTTAAATTACTCCATAACATTTATTTTAATTATCTACTATTATATTACTACTAATAAAAATATCATACGTGAAAAACTTTTGATTTACTATTTTACCTTTTTAAAGAATTTTAAATACTAAATTATCTTTTTATAGTTAAATATTTAAACTATAATCACAATCTTATGCATTTAAATTTTAAATTACTCTCTAAAAAATATATGCATCATTATAGTTTTCAATAACATGGTCAAAAAGTCTATCAATAGATTATTACTATTTTCAAATAAAAAAAAAGAATATTATGTATATATATGTGTATGTATGTATGTATTTTTTTTCATTTATACTACTAATAATTTATATTAGTAATAAAAATACCTTAAAATGAAAAACTTTTGATTCATTGTTTTACTCTTATAAAAAAATTTAAATACTACATTATTCTTCCGTAGTTGAATATCCAAATTTTCAACATATACTTATGTATTCAAATCTCCAAATTACCCCCTAATATCTCTTTTAATTATCTATTCACTATATATAAGTACTAGTGTTTTTTGTGTCTGAAAGCACAAGGTAATAAAAAAATGATCAACAATAAACATATTTGTATTCACACCTAAAATTAAATCATAAAAAAAGAAAAAAAAGAAATTTAAGTACCGGTTGTAGTGGGGTGAACAGTGATAAATGGCAGTAATGGGAAATGGTGATGATTATAATGGGTGGTGACGACCGTGGTGGTGGTGGTAGTCGTGGGTCGCAACGGTGATGGTGGTGGTGTCTTTTGGGTGACAATAGTGGTAGTGGTAGCCATGGATAATGGCGGTTGGGGTGATGGTGAACGACTGTGATAGTGATTAACACTGGTGGTGGTGGGGGCAACGACGGTTGTAGTAACGGTGGTGGGCGGTGTCGGTGGTAGTGATGGATGATGACAGGTGCTTCTGGGAGACAGTGTGATGGGTGGTAGTGAATGACGGTAATGGTTGGTGTGGTGGGGGTGGGTGACAGTGACTGACGGTGATAATGAACAATGATAGATAGTGGTGGGTTATGGTAGTGGATGGTGGTGGGTGCTGACAGTGGGTGACAATGGTAATGCTAATAAATATATGAAAGAGATGATGATGGTGGTGAAGGGTAGCGATGGACGATAACGGTAGTAATCGGTGATGAGTGACGATGGTAATGGAGGTAAAGGTGGTGGAGGTGGAGGTGAGGGCATTGGTGGTGATGGTGGAGTGGTGGTGGCGACGATGGTGGTTGGTTAATGGTGGTTATAGCAGAAGTGGGGGTGGGGGTGGGGTTATGGCGACGGTGGTGGTTATGGTGGGGCAGTGGGGTTAGGGTTGGGGTAAGGGGTGGTGGTGGGTATGATGGGGTGGTGGTTGGGGTAGTGTGGTGGTAATGATGGTGGTGGTGGGGTAATGGTGGTCGGGGTGGTGTGATAGTAATGATGGTGGGTGTTGGTGGTGCTAGGGCGATGGATAAGGTGGTGGTGGGGGTGGCAACAGTGGTGTTGGCGATGACGGTGGTGGTGGTTGGGTGACGGTGGTGGTGGTTGGGTGGTGATAGTAGTGGTAATGGTGATAGCAGTGAGGATGATGGGGTAGTTTCTAACACTACTTTTTTTTTGAAGTATTTATGAGAAATTATAAGTCCTAAAAATACTTTTAAAAAGTCACCTCAAACACACCCTTAGGGGCTTATTTTCCCTATTAAATTTGAGGTGTTAATGTTAGCTATCAGATTAACTTTAAAGTAAAATTTAAAGAGATCTTAACTGCAAAAAGTAAAAGTCATTTTGTTTATCTTTTGAAATTTGAATCGTATTATACTTTATTATATAGATTAGTATCTATGAAATTTTTTAATTGACTATATTACCCTTAAAAAATATATACATACTACAGTTTTCAATAAAATGTTCAAAAAATATTTAAAAACTTCATCAATCTAACATTACTCATTTCAAATATAAAGATAATATTATACTAAAATTTTCATATTTATGTATTTTTTAAAAATAATTTATGTTAAATCAACATAATTCTTCAATATTAATTCATAATAAACTTTTCATGTTTTATTAAGAGTTTATATATAAAAAAAAATTAAAGCGTATTTTTAAGTAAAACTTGAATTTTAAAATTTTAAAATTCTTTTAATTATAGTTGAGTATATTATATTTTATGGTTAATAACACTTTTAGTCCCTGAAATATGTATGTTTTATCAGTTTGGTCCTTATTATATCAATTTGGTTTTTAAAATATTTAATTAATGTTTAAATGATCTATACACAGACAATTTGTTAAGTTTTGTAGTAGAAGTGATGGTCACGGGATACTATTTGACGGAATGAAACGTGGTCATTCCGTCAAAAAAACTTAATGGACCATTTGGTTAGGGAACATTTGTAAAACTCGAGTAAATTTGAACTTTTATAAAAAAAAATGGGCAAAATGATAATTTGTCACCACGGTACGTGTTGTAAACCTGAATTTTTCTAGAGCTCGAATGATGAAACATACATCACCGTTGGATTTATCTCACGAAATCTAGTTACCCATGTCAAATTTCGTTGAATTCCTAAATAGTCGAATTTTTTGTGTTTTACGAGGCAGTCGGGTCTCGGGTGACCCAAAAAAATGAAATTTTTAAAATTTGAAAAATAATTTAATGCAAGTTAAAATAAAAATATTGAACTTGAACCGGAGCAAAATTTAATCATTTTTGAGCGAAAATGGACCCGAAAAAAAAAAGGATGTGTGTGGCGTACTGTGAGCCAAGTGTTTGGAGACTATAAAAGGGGAGGAAAAATCAGATTTCTTCCCCACATTCTGCTAGTCTTCAACGTTGGAGAGAAAGAGAGGAAAAAAAGAGAGAAACTCAACCTTCTCTCTCCAATCTATGTCTCATCATCGCTCAAATCAACTCGAATCAAGTATTAAAGTTGTTCTCCTCGACGAGGGCTACGTGTCCATACCAAAAAGGACAGATTCCACCAAAGTTTCTGAGACGGAATTTTGGGAAAAATTCAAATTTGAGATTGGGTGGTGTTCTTGAAGGTTCTACAACTCGTTTTACGATTCAAGATGTAGGGTTTTCATCCTCACTAGATTTATTTTCAACCTAGAAATGTGATATAGAATGGGTAGGTTGTTAAATATCTTTAGCACTTGCCTATTGTTGAGAATTTGATGATTTGGATATCTAAAATGGGTAGAATAAATTCTATCTTAAGTTGAGTATGTAAAAATTACCTAATGTGATTCTTGAAATATGTGATAAAAATTAAGCATGTATGTGATTATATGATTAGGTGCCTTGAAAGTGTTTCATTAAATGCCAAGATGGAATTAAGTGGGATGTTAATATATTATTTATGATATATTGGCATAGTGATGATTTATGAAAATTATATGCTTAGGATATAATTTACCGTGGAATATGTGGATAGGTGTTTAAATTGGTCCATTTGACATTCATAGAATGATTATGTGGTGATAATACGCTTGAAAATTGTGTTGTAGAAATTATTGATATATATATACATACTTGTGATATATTGACATTGATGGGTTATGAAAATTATATGCTTGGATATAATTATCCATGGAATGTGTTGAAATAGTTCATATGTCATTCATAACATATTAGACATTATATTGTTGCTGCAATGATACATCATGCACATGGGCATCGCATCATGAGGGGGTGTGTGTGCATGATTGTCGTCAACACCACACTTAGTGGATGACGGGTGGGCTTGGGAAAGTTGGGTCGAAGACTTGGCTGAATCACATGGTTTGCATGATAAATTGGGTCGGGGTTAGCAAGATGGGCTAGAAGATCCCTCGGGTGCAAGGCCCAGTAGTTGGGGTACTCCCTTGTTTCAGTCCATAAAGTGTGTGGGTGTACACGGAACCCTCGGTGAAAGTCCATAAATTCTGTGTGAGTTGGGTTACCCTTGGTGTAAGTCCATGAATACCCACTCCAAAAAAGACCCTAGATATATAAATGTCATTTGATGTGCCACATAAATGACGAATTCTTACACATTGGCATAACATGTGTTGTGGGAGCCGGTGAAGGCTCGAGTTGAGTTGCATGAGTGAGTCTCATATCATTTTATGGCATGACATAATAAATTTCAACATTGAGTTGCATATTCTTGATTGAAATTGTTGTGGATGGTTGATTGCTGCATGCTAATATTTCATATGCATCTAGTTTGGGGAGTAGTCTCTTTAGGAGATATCCTATTGAGCGTAACTCACCTTTTATAGAAAAATATTTCAGGTGTAGGGTTCACACTAGCAGACAGCTCCCAATTTGAGCCTCAAGGGTGAAGAAGGCCGACTTATGGCTTTTATGACTCATTTTGTATAACTTTGGTGAAAATCCCATTTTGGCATGTAAATATAAAAGAATTGTAATCGAACTCATATTGATTGTTTTAATGTAAAACAATTGCATGTGGTTATATGAGTATGAATAAATAGACCCGGTGTAGTCAATATTTACTTATAAATGGACCCGGTGTAGTCATATTTATTCATAAATAGACCCGGTGTGGTTAATGTAGTATAATTGTACATGTTGTGTTTTAGGTAGAGCTTCCGTACAAAAGAGACTCTGCCCGAATTTTGTTAAGTTAAGAACTCCCAATTTTTGGGGCGTC